CGTGGGCCTACCCCCGCTACCTGCGTGTTAACCCCCCCCTGCAACCCTTCAAAATCACGGCCACAGGTAAGTACCGGCCCTGCGGGGCCTTGCAACCAACAGGTACCCTTACGGGTCACACACACACTCAACCGTCAAGCACTCAGACAGGCAAGCAAACGGGCAGGCATGCACACACACACAGACTTGGAAAACACAGCAGAATGCGGGAATCACGGCAAGGCATTCATTCCAGTGGCAAATCCCAGGAATCAGCAGTGTTCTCAGTCTGTGCTTTGGCGGGTCATTACACTACCCCCCTCTCAAGAGCGAGGTCCCTTCGAGCGAGTAACTCATTCAGAGTCGGCACAAAAGGCATCGTAGGCATAGATCAGAAAGAGGGCGTTAGTGAGACCGAATGGGGTGAGTTTCGCAGCGAACTCAGCGGTCTGTCCATCAGCGACCTGTCGTTCATATGCGTTCACTAAAGGATAGGACTCAGGTCCGGGTCCTTGGCGGTGTGTTCGGCGAGATCCTCCTTCAGTTGCGTGCGGAGGTCGTATGAATCCACCAGGCAAGTCAAGTACTCGGGATGGCGGGATAGAGCATCAGCAACGCGATTATAGCAGCCTTTCTTATGCTTCAAATCAAAGTTGAAAACATCAATATCATGCAACCAGCGGGTCAGCGTAGGAGAAAGATCAGTTTGTGTCTTAATCCACGGCAAGGTCTGGTGATCTGAATAGACCTTGAAGTGGTGACCCAAGAGGTAGTGCTTCCAATGCGTGAGCGCCTCGCGCAAGGCGTAGAGCTCTCGCATGTATGTGGAAGTGGCTACCTTGTGGCTGGGCATGCGTTTGCTGTAGTACTCAATAGGAAGCAGGCCATCGCCATCATCTTGTTGCAGCACTGCACCAATCCCAAACTGGCTCGCGTCCGTAGTGACTACGAACGTGAGGTTGGGATCCGCAATGCGGAGCACAGGATGACTCACCAAAGCCTCTTTCAAGGCTTGGAACGCAGTCTCACACTTTTCACACCACACATAAGCAACATTCTTACTCGTCAGCAATGACAGAAAATTTAGGCACAAACTTCCGATAATAAGAGGCCAAACCAAGAAAAGAACGCAGCTCGCGTACATTTACCGGTTGAGGCCAGTTGCGGATGACCTCAACCTTGGTTGCCTCCGGCTCAAGGCCGCTCGCAGACAACCGGTGCCCCAGATAGATGACGCTGTCCCTTGGCCATGACTCCAAACAAACATCCCTGCCCAAAAAAGCTGGTGGTGTGTGTGTGTGTGTGTGTGTGTGTGTGTGTGTGTGTGTGTGTGTGTGTGTGTGTGTGTGGTTCATGGGGCGGCTCTTTGTGACAGTACAGATTGTCACTAAGAAGTAGTAAGAACACACTTCACAAAGTAAATGAAGAAATGAGAAGATGGCATTAGGTACACAAACCGGTCTTATATGCATGCGGTGTGGGAACAAAGGTTTTTCTTTTTTGGGGGAAATTGTTGAAATACAGCAGAGGTTTTCTTTTGGGGAAGAACTGTTGAAATACCCCAAGAAGATAGGCCATTTTGTCAGATACCCCTAAAACACAGGGGTATGCCGAAATGCCCAAACTTCTGCATCTGCCCATCCCGAGCATCGCAAACTTCACCATATGGGTTGCAGGGGCCAGCGCATTTCTTTTTTTACCAACTGCAGGGTCCAACGGCCAGAAATACGAGGGCATATAGCATGTTGCCCAGGGCCTGGTAGGGGTATATGCAAAAGATGGCGGGTCTAATTGGCGAGTGGGGTATTTTGCAAAGTTACCCACCTGTCATAGGGGCATTGTCGCCATACCCATGCCTTTTTAGGGGTATCTAACAAAATATGCGAAACTTTCAGGGGCATTTCAACAATTTCCCCCTTTTGTTTTTCCCTTTTTCCCTTCTTTTTTTCTCTCATCTTTCTTTTTCTTTCAACCTCTGGGGCGAGGTCCCATTAGCAGTCGGATAGGAGTGACACTGAGTGTGACACTGTGTGGCCGATCCAGTGTGACACTGAGTGGCAGCGGCCTGACAGGCTCATTACGAAACGAATTTCTGGGCTGAGAAAACAGGAGAGAAAGGCCAAAAAAAATAGAAAAACAGAAACAGAGACCTCCCACCGGAAATCACAGCAGTGTGCTTTCCAGCCATCAGATCACAAATGATCTGATGGTGGTGGTTCAAATAAACAACAGTGCACAAAGTAACCGCCACATTTTCTGGAATAAAAACTGGACTTCTGACAGCAGTGATCCTGACACCCTCCATATACTCCGTGATTGAAGGAGGGTTCCACCCAATGAGATAATTGCACAACAGCAAGTAAAATGCTGAAAATCTTATATCCAGTGGGCTAAGGCCGACCCCAACCTCGTTTGGGGTTGGCCACACCCCCAACCGATTGAAAAGATTCTGGCGGGAAGCTGTCTTCGCACGGGCATGCCCAGTGTTAAGGAGAGGAGGAGGGCAACGAAGATCTCCTTACTTTTTCGGGTAATACATGTAAAATAAATACTGACCGTGGGATCACGAGTAGTGCACGTCAGGATTTGGGTCACTCAACTGCTCCACAAACTCGTTTCTATCCTATCCCGTTGCTGGTGCGACCTCGCCCCTGCTGTTTGTTTCTTGTGCAATGAATTCATGAATGCAGGCAAAACCTTTTTTTTTTTTCTTTTTTTCTTCTCCTCCTTTTGTTTTTTCTCTTCCTAAGAGGGTGACGGCCTTAAGATAATTCAGATTTGATTTTTTTCCGTTGACCCGATAGGGAGATTCGAACTCGGGTCCGTATTTCAACAGTCCAGGGGGGGTGTACCAACTGAGCTAGGCCTTCTTTTACATGCCACAACTGGTTGTTCCTTCGAATGCAGGTGGGGAGAGAGCGGGGGGGGGGTGCACAGGGGTTGCGGGATTTTTGTCCATCTCTGATGGAAGCAGCAGCAGTTTGTCGAATGAATGCAATGAATGAATGCAGGGGAAAGAAAAGTTTCGTAAATTTCTGGTGGGACTCCGTGGGAGTTAACAGCAGTTGGTTGCTTGTGTGTCGAATGAATGCAGGCTGCTCCATAGGTTATCTCAGGTGGATGTGCCCTACTCGATCGGCATGATGACGCTATGGTCAGTTGCTTCAGTGTTCAGCTTGGGTTGGGCAATGTGTGCGGAGTCGCCTTCGACGCCATGCGACTTGATAGAGTGCTGCCAGAGATGGGGCGACGAGGGCCTGCTGGATTTCTGCGGCTTCTTGCAAATGCTGGCCGAAATGCCGCTGGCGATGTCCCCACCGGAGGTGGTCGAGGAAGCGGAAACGGTTTTCGCAGAGCTTCTGAAGCACCAGAAGTCCTTCATGGACATTGCGATAGAAATAATGGAGGAGATGCGCACCCCGGAAAAGGAGAGAGCGTGGCAGCAAAAGCTGCTCCTCGAACAAAGAGATGGACAGCTGGAGCTTGAGGCAAGAAATCATCATCACCTGCACTATGTAGAGCAATCCGACCAGGCACAACAGTGGGAACCATTGCAATCAGAGGGCGAGGACACTGAACATAGTGAGCAGGAGGGGCAACAAGGGTACTCCGCACATTCCTATGATGACGGTAGCAATCACCATTGTACGCACTCTGCTCACCAAACTCAGCAGGAAGAACAAGTACAAGGGGACACAACAGACCCATCACATTCGAATGATGCGGGGAGCAATCATCATCTCACACACAATGCACATCAATCTCCGCAGGAAAAACAAGAACAAAGCGCCTCGACGCACTCAGCAGAGGAGGAGGAGGAGGAGGAGGAGGAGGAGAGGGCTGAGAAACGGCAGGAAGGCAATGCTTCACATTCAGATGACGAGGAGACAATGACATCAACCAATTCCACTCCAAACAACAATGCCCTCCTGGGCATGGAAGAGCACGCAGGTTATGGAAGTCCGTCTGAGCAAGGAAAGCATCCAGTGCCAGAGGACCTCGTCTCGTCAGGTATGGCTGTGCAGGATCACTCATGCTGTGAACATCAGGACGAGCAGGAACACGATAGGAAATTGTGCGCTGGTGCTGAGGAGGCAGTCACATCTGCTTCCGGCTGCAAAGGCCTCAACAAAGAAGATCCACATGATCCAAGCAAGTTTCGCCATGGTCAAGATGAAGAAGAAGAAGAAGAAGAAGCTGGTTCACAATCAGAGGGCCGCAAGGGGCAGGTCTTATCCTCGAAAGAATTCGACATGATTGAAGCACCAAGTGGTGGATACGGTCCTGCAGTTCGTACCCAGTGTACCGGTGATAGGGATGGGGAGGCAGTCACACCTGTTTCCAACGGTAAAGGCCTCGACAAAGCAGGTTGTATGCAGCACACCACTGATGGGGATGGGGAGGCAGTCGCACCTGTTTCCGATGCTAAAGGCCTCTATAAAGCAGACCCACACAGTCCAAGTAATTCTGGTCTCGCCGAAGAGAGAGATTTGCAAGCCGAGGACGGCAAGGAGGAGGTCCTCTCATCAGACGCTTTGGATGGCGAGGCAGTCCCTCCTGTTTCCGATGACGGCAAGGGGCTCGATAAAGTGGAACCGAATGATCCAAGTAATGCTGGTCACGGTGAAAAAGAAGATTCCCAAGTAGAGGACAACAAGGAGCAGATCCTATCATCAGAAGATTTGGACGCCAAAGATCTGCATGCTGCTGGGCACGACCCCGCCCATCGTACGCAGCACATCGATGACGGGGAGCCTACAGCGTCCGTTTCCGGTGATGGCATATGCCTTAAGACAGAGGGTCATCATCGTAAGGTCCCATCGTCCCCGATAGCAGATCCATTACCTGACGAAAGTAGGATTGATCATCACGCTCAAGAAGAAGGATCACGCCAACTGGCCTAGCTCCGTTGATACACCTATGAACTCGCTACAGAGTGTGGATTCTGTTTTCCCGCCTCGAGAATGAAACGGAACTCTCTCTCTCTCTCTCTCTCTCTCTCTCTCTCTCTCTCTCTCTCTCTCTCTCTCTCTCTCTCTCTCTCTCTCTCTCTCTCTCTCCCAAACTAGGTCCCGAATTAAGTTCCTCCAAAGCTCCAAACTAGGTTCCGTTCTCCGCTCTTCTGGGACTGACTTTATTATAAAGCGGCTACCGACAGACAAAGTGAGAACCTAGCTTCTTCTCAGTGGCTTTCTCTCACGGTGTGACTCTTTTAACGGAGGGCTGATGACATCCTCCTAGCATCAGTATATTCATAGTGACCCCATGCGCTCATCAAACAACGGTGCCGACCGCCAGTTTCTTGGTTGAGATTCTTGAGCAGCACCGTGCTCGTGTGTCCTGTCTTCAGTCCTTGCTTGCTTCCTCTCTCCCATGACGTCTTGAGGGCCTTTCTTGATTGGTTGCTAAGGGTCCAAAAAAATAATTTCATCAACCAGGAAGTGAGTCCAGGGGGTCATTTGCATTAAACCACTAGTACCTTTGCCGCTTGGGAAAATAGCGGGCCTCGGGTAGGCGTCCGACCTTTTCAGAGGCCGAAACGAAACGACGGCCGCCGATCAGATTTATCAATGGCAGTCGTCGTCGGGCCCGACCTCCAAAAATTCAGGCGATTGGGAAAGGTACTAGTGGTTTAAGACAGTAGACTGAGTAACGATGTCCTGCCAAGGAAGTTTCTAACGTTCCTCACGGCTGGAATTTGAAAAGGTGTGTCCTTGCCTGCAATAGACAGATCCCAAGACCGCGCTTGCATGGAGGCGATAGACTTCCTGGACAAGAAGCTGATCGTTGCTTCTGTTTGGAGTTATGGGATTCTGCTTCGCAACTTCGCGGTGTGCAGTATGTGGTCGTTATTCTCACAAGCGAAGGTGGTGGTGGTTGGTTGAGCAGCATGCGGTGATGAATTGTGGCAAATGCGAAGGGCTGCACCGATGGATTTATATGACGAAGGGCTGCACCATCTTTATGCATGGCGTATGGGAAAATTGATGGCACATAAGGAGAAGTCCAAGATCAACTCGCCGGGAATCGAACCTATGATTTGCCACCAAAGAGGTGGATCACTCGACCAATAGATCAAGGGAGCTGGGAGGAAAGTGAAGCCCCTTGTGGAACATTGCACCCTTACCCGCAGCATGCACGTTCATCCATGGCCCGGTGTACCCAAACTCTACTCATGCCAAGTTGACGTGAGGGGTACCTCACCTCACGTGCACCGGCCATACCTCAACCCCATTGCTTTTGATAGCATGGCAAGTGAATGACCAACAGACGTAGCTAATTCGCTACACTCAGGCATACGGCGGCATCTTGTCGATACATCACTCAGCAGAATCTGGCAGATTGAGAGAGAGATCTGAAGGCTGGGTTTTGGAAGTTCTAAGGGTTTGACCAGGTGTCACTCTTCCTTAAACAGCCGGCACACACATTTGCAATGTCAGTGAAGAGGCACATCCTCCTCTAGAATTTGGCGAGCTGTTACGTGGGAACTGAGAGATAGGACTGAATAATAAGGGCTGTTGCGCGCTCTAGTTGTTTCAAGAAGAGAAGGCTGGCATATGTTTTCCAGTAGTTAGCTTCAATTAGCAATCCGACATTCTGTGCTCGCATGTTTGCTCACCAGTTGCATACTAGGGCGCGTTTAGATTCTCCTCCTCCTCCTCCTCCTCCTCCTCCTCCTCCTCCTCCTCCTCTGCTACCTCTTCTTCCTCCTCTTGTACCTGCCCTTCTGAGTCCTCATCATCCTCTCCTCTTCCTCTCCCTCTTCTTCTACGTCCAGATCCACAGGGCGCGTTTAGATTCTCCTCCTCCTCCTCCTCCTCCTTCGCCTCCTCCTCTGCAACCTCTTCTTCCTCCTCTTGTACCTGCCCTTCTGAGTCCTCATCATCCTCTCCTCTTCCTCTCCCTCTTCTTCTACGTCCAGATCCACAGGAAACGTTTAGATTCTCCTCCTCCTCCTTCTCCTCCTTCTCCTCCTCCTCCTTCTCCTCCTTCTCCTCCTCCTCCTCCTCCTCCTCCTGCTCCTCCTCTGCTACCTCTTCTTCCAACTCTTCCTCCTGCTCCTTCTCCTCTGCTACCTCTTCTTCCAACTCTTGTACCTGCTCTTCTGGGTCCTCCTCCTCATCCTCTCCTCTTCTTCTCCCTCTTCTTCTTTGTCCAGATCCTTTCTATTTTTTTATTTTATTTTTAGTAATATAAGCTCCAATCTAGTATTCGTGGGGAGAAGCACGTGCTGGGAACCGGCCCAGCGTCCAATTTGAAGTATGAACAAAACAAAATGCATCAAGAGTCCGAGCCTGAGGAGAGCATCAGGCCCGTTCCTGTGATACCGGCAAGTCGCTATGCCTCTATAATCAGGAGTGGCATGCACAGGTTGGAGAAAGTAATAATGTATTATTATATACGTGACTCACTGACATCCCGGCCTCATTTGTCATACTTCGTCTTCCTGTTATCTCCACTGTCCTCTTTCTCCTTCTTCCATCTAAGACGCATCGGTGAGTTTCCACGTCAGCTCTGACTGCGCTACAGGTGGGTGACACATCAGCATAATAGACGCATGATCAGCAATTGGCTGAGTGAGGCAGAGGTGGAGTGACGATTCTGTTGTATCTTCGTACCTGTGGTTCTGGCCCAGAGACTTAGAATGAATGGGGGAGCGCTCAGGGAAGAGGGGGAGAAGGTGGGAGGGTAGGATGTAGGGTTATAACTTATAATATTCCATGCACAGAATGAATGGGGGAGCACTCACGGAAGAGGGGGAGAAGGTGGGAGGGTAGGATCTAGGGTTGGAATATTCCATGCACAGGGGCTGACAGAGAATGCTAGGCAGTTTTCAGCTTTAGCCTGTAGTCAGGTTGATTCTTTGGGCAGACTACATTTTCCCGCAGCGCTCAAGTTTCATCTCTATATTAGAGGTTTCTCTGGGGTATTCGTTTTTTATTCCCCCCCATTTTAAGGCTTATTAAGTTATATATAGATATATATGGCCGAGTACTCCACTACTGTCACAATCATTCTGCGGCCGAGTACTCCACTACTGTCACAATCATTCTGCGGCCGTCCATTATGTTATCGCAACGTATATTGCCTTTAGAGGTGTGTTTCAGAAGTTCTCCGCAAGGCTTTTGAAATCTTATTATCTCAGGGTTATTAACACTCTCTCTCCAGTTCAGCGCTCATGCAGCATGTTTTCAAAGTTTTCAATTGTGTATTCCCCCCCCTCTTCGAGGATGACGATTGAGCGGGCTGGTGGGCAACTAACAGGAGCCCGGGTTTCGGTGCCCCCCGAGTCCCGCCCGGGCTACTACCAGAGGCCCTTGGCACGGAGCACTTCTGATTAGAGGTATGAAAGGGGACACTGGGCCCGGTTCTCAGCAAAGAATCCAAAGATTCCGTAAAGACGACACGATAAAATTGGTGTATCAATGGGACGCTGGACCCGGTTTCCGGCAGGTGCCGCTCCCCACCAATAGACTGGAGCATCTGGCGGGTAGGCTGCTAGGAGGTGGCGCTCGTACCGCACCGCCTAGCAGGCCCCGGTTGTCGATTGAGGACTCAATCTCTTGACTTCATTTTCATTCCTTTCTGTTTGATATAGGATTAGGGCTTAGGAGAAAGTAGGAGAGGGTTTAGGGTTTAAGGGTTTAAGGGATTAAGAGTTTAAGGGTTTAGAATTTAGCGTTTAGAGGAGAAAATTAGGAGAATTTAGGAGTTTTTAAGGGTTTAGGGGTTTAAGAGTTTAAGAGTTTAAGGGTTTAAGGGTTTAGGGTTTAGGGTTGGTTTAAGAGTTGAAGGGTTTAGGGTTTAGGGTTTAGGGTTTAGAGGAGAAAATTAGGAGAAATTACTAATTAGGAGTTTTTTAGGACACTACGTTTTTCTTCGGAAAAGTTTGGATTGTGAAGAAGAGTAGAAGGGATTCTTTTTCTTTTTTTTTTGAAGTGATTGATTGAATGTTGTTGACGGTCTCGACTTTTCGAGTTTAGCACGCTCAAGTTTCAAAGGAGGGCGAGCTCTCGATAGAGTCGAGGAGTCGAGGTCAGAGGTAACAGGTTCAGTATTATGATTGTTGCTTTTTCTGAAATTTTCTCTCAAGAAGCGAAGTTTTTTTTTTTTTTTTTTTTTTTTTTTTTTTTTTTAAGTTGTAGGCTTGTAGGTGAGGGTGGAATGTTATTAAGGAGAGAGATGCTGCAAGATCTATCTTCATCTAAGGTTATTCTTTAGGATGACAATTCTCCTGACTGTCCTTCTCCTTCAGGTCTCGGTTGCAGTTTTACGCTGTCTCAGTTGCAAAGGGCCATGTATGGATTGACACTGCCAAGTTCGTTCGTTTTCTCTAAACCTGGGGTTGATCTTTTTTTCTTAAATATAATTAATATTAGACTATTATTAGTTAATAAAGGGGGAATTGAACAGTTCTGAACAATATTGTATACAATCTGGTTCGCGCCAAGTTTGTTAACATTAATGTGACTGTACCATTTAGCCACTACCGTCTTCGCGCGAATAGAACGCCCGGTCATTATAGCTGTATTTGACACAACTTTCAGCCCAGATACGGCGATAATTACCGGGCGTTCTATTCGGGTGAAGACTGCAGGAGGACAACAGGTACAATTGGTCTAGTGCAGGTTCTCTGTCACAACTACTTTTGTTATATACAAGAGTGTTTGCGACAGTTCGTTCATTCAAAACTGGAAGATGATGATGATGATGATGACGATGACGATGACGATCACGATCAAGATGATGATGATGATGATAATGATGATGCCTATTCCTGCTTTCCAGGGAACTTTGAGAAATGCTCACAGTCATACATACATTCAAGTACTCTCACAACTCGTCCACGGAGCGAGGTACAGGGAGATATAGATGACATCAACAAGAGTACATCGCATTCAGTCTCATGCTTTTGAAGTTTCAACTTGGATACTTGGTCTTCTCCTCCAATCCAACTCCCTCTCCAATAGAAAAAAGTCTCTATTCCCCAATTTAGATCCTCTTCCTCCAACTCACAAGTGGAAAAATAGTCTTGTCCAACGAGTCCAGTAAGTCCAGTAACCTCAGTAACTCCAATTAGTCCAGTAAGTCCAATGAGTCCAGTAAGTCGAATGAGTCCAGTCAGTGCAGTAACTCCAGTAACTCCAATGAGTCCAGTAAGAAAAATAGTCTTGTCCAATGAGTCCAGTAAGTCCAGTAACCTCAGTAACTCCAATGAGTCCAGTAAGTCCAATGAGTCCAGTCAGTCCATTAACTCCAAGTCCAATGATTCCAGTAACTCCAATGAGTCCAGTCAGTCCAGTAAGTCCAGTAAGTCCAGTAAGTCCAATGAGTCCAGTAACGAGTCCAATGAGTCCAGTTATGAGTCCAACGAGTCCAGTAATGAGTCCAATGAGTCCAGTAATGAGTCCAATGAGTACAGTAAGTTCAATAAGTTAGTCTAGCACGTAAACTAGTACACATGGAGGGCTCAGAGATGATTTTAGTCTAGCCTTGGGACATACACGAAAATGGCAGACTAAGCGAGGCCGACCAACCAGACCCATTATTATGCTTATGGATAGAAAAAGCAAATCGCATGTAGGGTACAAGTATTGGAGAAGGAGAGAGACAAGGTCATCTTGTGGGTAGGATGAAGAATAGAAGACCTCCTCTAGAATAGAAATGGTCCAGAAACTGACTCCTGAAAAAAGACAGAAGCAGAGTCCCATTTCCATTCATTGGTTTTGAAGCGCCAATCCAATCCAATCGCTGACTGGAAATTTGTTTTTTTTGCTTACTCTAGCAATCGAACCCGCAACCCGTTCATCTCAAACCAAAGCGCACACCGCAAGGCAAAGTGAACTGGGATGAAACTGTGAAGCCTGCAGATTCAAAGAGAGCAATGGGCCAGCCATGTGAGCATAGGGAGAGCAAACCATATGGAGAGCAAATCTGCAGTGTTCATTACCGTGAGCTGTAGAGGATCGAACTCTTCGATGACCATAAGGAGAGCAAACCGACCGGCCAAATCAAATCTGATTTGGCTCTGCAGTCGCAGTGGCAGCTCACCCATCTTCCCCCAAATCAGATTTGATTTGGCCGCCAACACGTGACTGGCTCATTGAACACTGCAGATTTGATTTGATTTGGCCGTGGAACAGAAAGAGAGCTCCCATCTTCCTCCCAATGCGTGGATGCCTGCCGACACGTGACTGGCTCCTCCCATCTTCCCGCCTCCCGAATATAACACACATGTGTTGTAAACGAATACAACAATGCATAGGTTGCTTTCTATTTGAATACAACGTGTACGTGTTCTATTCAACCAGCGGGTACATTCGACTACAATGCATATGCGTTCTATTCGGATCATCGATTTTTTTCGAGAACTCGAATACAACGCATATGCGTTATGTCTGGGGGAAGGGGGAAGACAGTAGTGCCCTGGTGCAAACACAGTGGAAGAACACACGAGAAACACAGAAACACTTTTTGAAAACTCAAATACGACACATATGTGTTATCTCCGGCGGACGATGGTAATGCCATGGTGCATCATAAAGTTTTTTAAAAATAAGATGCGAAATTGGAAGTATTGGATGATTAAATATTAATAACAAATCGTCCTTCGGGACATCCGTTAAAATTGGAACAATACAGAGAGAGAAGATTAGCATGGCCCCTGCGCTTTCAAGGATGACACGCATAAATCGAGAAATGGTCCAAATTAAAAATTAAAAAAAAAAAAAAATTGACATACGCTGTTGAATTCCCCCCATGGTACTCATCTGATCTGGAAGTGGTGGGACAGAGTTGGAGATGGCTAACAGTAGAGAAGACTTGGCCATGGGACTGGAAGGCTCGACTCTTCAAGCTCGACTCTTTGTCCACCACCTCCGTCACACAGGGGCATTGCCCTCAGGTTACTAGTACTACTGGATGGGGAGAAAACTCAGAAAGGTAGTATTGTGAGGAATGTGGACGTCCCTATGCACTCCTCATGAATGCGAAGACGTGCGACTGGACCGCGAGACGAGCGAGAACATTATCATAACTTACATCCGAACAGCCATCTCGGGCACAGATTGCGGAACAAGGTGGTGGATTAACACTAATGATCTGAGTGAATGTTGCATACCGCAAGGGTGCAGACCAGAACAAGAACCGACCTCTCTCACATAGTACAGGACAGAGCAGCGGACGGCTAAAATACGAATGATCAGACCAATCAATCTCGCCATGTAGACCAGACATACATTGTCATGGCAAAGTGTGAAGGGGCCTGGCGCTACACACAGGAAGAATGCGCCAGGGCCAGATCATACACAGACGAAGAGGAGGGGATCAGACGAAGAGGAGGGAGAAGATGGGAATGTCGCCAACACCAATGTCGTTGATATCGATCCCAAATAGTCTCCCATCAATGTCTCTGTCCCAAGGTCCAGTCTGTATCCAAATGTCGTCAACATCCCAAAAGTCACAAACCTCTCTCTCTCTCTCTCTCTCTCTCTCTCTCTCTCTCTCTCTCTCT